TTTAAATCAACAAAAAGCTTCACTGAAACTTCTTCAAAACAGAAAATGAAATCAAGTATAATATAAAATGCAAACTCTATCATAAGACAAAATAAATAAATAAATGAATATAAGGCATCATCATTATAAGTAATGAAACATTAACTTCATGAAATGCAACTTACTTGTCAGTTGGGAGGTCCGAACAACTCCAGTTTTGATCCACTAAAGTGTCATGGTAAACTCGACACTCTTCTTTATTACGAAGGCGAAATCTGCGCTCCTTTTTGCATTTGTTACAGCGGATAAACTCATCACGGTGACATGGACGACCATTGGGGCCTTTTTGAGAACCATTTGTAGCTTTTAATGTTTGATTGTAGTATTTAAGCAGGGGTGTCTTTGTAAGTGAAACCTTCTCTCCCTCAACGATGACCCATACATTGCTCTTCCATTTCCTTGCACTCTCTCTCCCGGAATGCTTCTCAAAAGCAGCGGGGGACAACTTCACTGTTAATAATAGATTAACTAATTAGCATAAAAAAAGAATATTAAATTTTGCATATAGCAATCTCAAAATGTTAAGAGCACCAATGGAGAGTATAAAAATTTGAGAATTTTATTTGATCTCACATATTCCATGCAACAATTCAACGTACTTGCTTTTATTGGAATAAATAATAAGTAATTATAAATTCATTTAGAAATGCAAGTTATTATGTATATCTCTGCTTTTGGAAATTTAACTAGCAATTATGGATGTTGAATAAGGTATTTATGCATTAAAAGAGTTGCATGCTGAGGTATTAAATTAGAATAAACAGAACATAGATTCAGATAAATATGTGTCTGTATATGTACTATCTTAAAGCACTGTAGGAGAGTTTACAATTGACACTATAAAAAATATTTCTATATTTACCGTATTTGTTTCCATTTTCTTTAATAAAAACATAACATCAAATAGTATTGTTATAAGTATTTTTTGGCAAAAAAATTGGTGGGAAAGTGTTCCAAAAAAATTTAAAAAATGCCGACCAATGTTGCTCCAATAATAGAAGTTTTGATCACAATTAAATGAATTGATTTTGAAATCAATACATAGTCTTTTTGTTTATAAATCTTTATAACAGACACAATTCAGAGAGCTTGCTTCCTGGTTTATCTATCAAGTATAAAGCTTCAGGTGAAAAACAGCTAACAGCAAACAAAAGCCTCCCTTAATAGAAATATAACCTTGTTAACACCATCGATGAAAGAGAAGCATATAAATGAGCTCTTATTGTAAACTAGTAGAAAAAAATAAAATGAAGGGAAAGAATTGCAGTTGGAACACGGAATAACAGTCTCTCCATCTCTTTTAAGTTCAATTTTAGCCATATTCTGCCCTTACTGTTGACCAGCATAACGTTTGATAAGAGCAGGCGGCAAACTAAAAGGCATCACCTTCCAGAAGGTGATATTCAGATAGACTAAGAAGTCAATAGCACAGCAAATAGACTAAGATGCAGATAACAGCGTTATCTAAATAACAATATTGAACCATATAGACACTACAATAAAAATGATATTTACTCTGCCGCGTTGCCTAAAAGAGCACATGGAATTACAAACTCTGAATCTCATAATCACACAAAGAAAGTACAATAGAAAGCCAGGCCTGAAAGGGTCATAAAATAAAAGAATATCAATCCATATAAGAATACTTATCAGCCAACCTACAAAACACATTAAAAACAACAACATGAATGAAGCAGGGTGTGCCTTCATGCAAGGGATGCTCTTTATGAACAGTGAGCACCAAAACAGTGCATGTGATACTTGCAGTTTTAATAGCCAGCATGAAAACAGCGGCCTTGATAACATGTGAAAAGGACAAGCATGGCAACATCTTCAAAGCCAAACACCATTGGAAAAGCATAGATCTTGCATGGAATAAATAGAAACTAAACATAACATAAAATCTCCTGCTTCAAAAGAACACGGTAGGAGATCAAACAACGAGTAGTCATCAACTAAAAAAATTTCTTGGCACCAGAAAACGAACGAAAAATAGTAACACGACAAAAAACAGCGCGAAGCAGTCTAAATGGATAAAAATCATAAAAGCAACTGACCCTACTCACCTTCTTGGCATCCAGGAGTGCACTCGCAGTCGATCTGGAGATCCCCAGAGGCGAAAACCCTAAGTCTACCTACCGCATCTCCATAGCGATGGCTTGTGCACCCGCACATCACCTCGACAAAGTCCAAACCTCGCTTCAGCCCGCTTATCTGACTCAACTCCCCGTCTGCAAACAGAAAGATTCCATCTGTAACTGAACCGTTCGCCATCTCCACTATTCCACGTTCGCAAGGAGAGATTTTTCTGGTGAATCTAGACCCAAGATTCAACTTCTAGCAACCAGGTAACCACAACAAGACGGTAGACGAGGTGAGCACGCGCCGAAGAACGGAGAGCGAGGAAAGAACGCAGGAAAGACGTAAATACGGCGAAAAAAGAAAAAAAACAAAAGCGGTGAAAAAGACAATTGAGCGAACCGCGCAAACCCGCCTCTTGAAAGTCACCTTTATACACCAGGACCTACAAGAAGTAAAAAAGTAAAATCGGCCGAGACACAGAGTTAACCACTCGTATAGGCCTAACAACTAAAAATCGGCGAGGAAAGGGATGGAATAATGCTTTTCGAAAAACTTCCTATTTTGCCCCCTCCACTTAAAACAGTAACGAAAATGGGTAGAGTGATGATGGACGAGCGAGCTCTGGATCATAGAATGAGAAATAAAACAAGTAGAAGAGTAGGAAGAGGACACCGACTTTCCGGGGATGAAAAGACTCGGTCGAGTGAGAAGATGGGAGAGTTTGGAATTTACTCCCTGAAAGGCCCGTTGCATGATTTGAGGGGAGAAATATGTTTGTGGTTTGAGAGAAGAATAAAGGCGGGAGATGGCGATACAGCAGCGCTAGTTGCCATTAAGGGAACGAGTTTATAAAGGAGGAATCTTTTTCACTTTCAACGAATTATTTTGGTTTTTGATGTCCTTATTCAACAAAATATCAAAGTTGGATTTTGAGCCGCAAAGGTAAGAGGAGCTTTTGGTTGCGGGCCCGACCTCAAGAAATGGGGATAGCCTCCCCTGAAATACAGCGTGCGTTTCATCTTCCTGTGGATGAGCAAGTTCATACCCGTGCCTTGTAAAAGCTTCTGCGATTGGATTCTGGCGAACTATACAGTTCAATCTTCATGTGGTCTAGTTTTTTTGTGATTTTTAAGAAGTTCGGGGCAAGAACATAGTTTTAAGAACTTGTACTATTGATATTAATTTATAGCTATTGCAGCCAAGTCTATGATTAAAACATGAACATACAAAACAATGCATAAATTATAATTTTTATATTTTTTATGTATTATTATAACTAAATTAAAATAGAACCAGTTATGACCTCTCAATTTAAAGAGAGAATGACTAGAAATTTAAATTACTAATTGAAGCTTTGCGTTCTACGGAATACTAGCCATTTATTATCCATATTTTTCTCTTATTTCTCCTCTCTTATTAATGTTGATTGTTTCTCCCGCTGTATTAAAATTTTGTTGCTTCTTTATTTGCATCAAAGTTTGGTATCAAAGCCTTTCAGCCCCTTATATGCCAAGTTGCTACCATCAATAATCATCACTCCTAACTATTGAAACTATGCCAAATAATCAAGCTTGCATGTTCTCCTCTTACTCTTTCGATTCAACCTCCCAAAATAGTTGTATTTTATACTGCAAGCACATTATGCATCTTCTTTGAGATCAAATGCTTCAAACACACTAGGGCTCAAAGCCACTTGCTAGTACCTAACTATAATCTAAGAAATTTTGACAAGTTTTAATAGTCATTTTGACTTCATAATGCCAGAACAATTGGGATCAAATTAAGTGTTAATCATTAGTGAGATATTTTAACTTCTATAACAATTTCACTCGAGAAAACACTTAAGTACTTTTCAAAAATGTTATTGGGAACTTTCTCTTAGCGATCCACTCATGAATTTTATGATGATGCTTGGAAAATGTTTATAGTTATACAGCTAAGAAGAATCCTACATGTCAACATATATGGAGTGAAAGACATAAAAATATTATAAATATATGGCAAATATTAAAAGAAATTATGGATAATGACTCTTGTCTGACATTTGCTCCAACATTCAATGAATGATCACTTCGCCCACCAAGAAAAGCACTAAAATAAATAATAGGACTCGAGATTGAAAAAGTATTAGAAAATAGATATCAACTTCGATTGATTTTAATTCATTGTAACCAAAGAGAACCATTCTATTATTTTTTTCAAAAGTAAGAACTTTATAGAGAGATATTGATTTTTTTTTTTCACTCTATTTGCATGCCACTTTATGTACTATTTATACACCCATTGATTTAATAAAAAAAATATAATCACTTATTAAAGTTTATGCATCCAAGGAATTAGTAATATTAGCCTTTGGGTTGATTTATCAACAATAATTAGTAAATTTTAACACAAACTTTTTTTTTTCTTTCTTGTTTGACAGCATACACAACCCTTTTTAAAATCTTAAACTATTTCAACTCTCACAAAATTAAGCCATTTTCTTTCCTTAAAGCCATAACTCTTACTATATATTATTTGTGGCTTGTTTAAAAAAGAAGTTTCTAAACTTTCAATCCACATATATAATTAAACATCCCAAAAAACTGATCAATAAGTTCTTTCTATTATTTTATCAAGAAATTTTTTATTTTCCGCTAAATTAAAATTTAACATAAAATTTTATCCCA